ATGCTTAAACCACTTGTAAACTTTGTATTGGAGATTAAAAGCTGAAAATTGAGTCAACACAAACACCCATCAAAGTGCAACAAAGTTTTTGCTCAAGCATGAGAAAATGTTTTCTTTCAAGATCACAGATGATGAATATTTTATTCAAAGCCAAAAACTTCCTTTGCAATTTAAATGAAGTTTTAATTCCATTTACCATTTTCTTTTTTCCCTTCCCTAAATACATTTTTTGCACACAAGATCCTATTCTTTAATTATGCATTGAATATTATCAATGGATATTAGAAAAAAATCAGAACATATAATTCCATATTTTAAAGGATACCCGTGGTGATAGGGTTATAGAGACATTTAACCAAGTTTTTATAAAAGTCCTGTTTGCAGCCTCCAAACTTTTTACAGAAGATGTTATAATAAATTGAAGGTTAATTCACACAACATGATAGTTTAATGATTTATTAGTATATATTAATAAATAGAAATGTGTATATATATTGTCTCATTTAAGTATATTTCACTTCTCAACCATTGAAAAGTGCACAGGATTGTTTTTTTTGCAGATTATTATATTTTTGAGGCATTATTCTGTGATCATTAAATCTCCAGTGGGTGGATATCATCTACTTATCATATTGAAAGTAATTCAGCTATGGATGTAAACATTATTTTACCGAGTTTTCATTGTAGCAAGAAAAATATGGAAAAGCAAAATATTTTTAAAATCAAAGTTTTTCATTGTTATACATACTTAAAAACTATTATATTTAATAATCTCTTTTTTTTTTAATTGTTCAGATTCTTCTAGAAACTCCAAAAGACCAGTTTCTAAATATACAGACTTTGCTTTGTCTGTTCGTCAAGAAAATTTTGGTCGATACAGAGAAGTGGTGAGTTTATATTTCAGATTTACAGAAGGAGCATCAAATTATTTTTTTCTTTTACAACTTTATGAATTATCACAACTAAGAATAGAACTTTGTTGTGCAAATAATATTTTTTGCTTGTGTCTTGTTTAAAATAAAGTAGATAAAGCTATATAATATCAAATTATATCGTAAGATTATATATTTTGTATTAATTATTTCATATAACCAATAGTAGCATACATAAGTGAACCATCTTGTTAGATGAAAAAAGGACCATAAACTCCAGAACAAGTGGTATTTTGCTCAATATTTCATTTCTACAATTTCTTTAGGAATGATTTACATACATTGTTAGATTCACAATGATTAACAGATTATACACTTTTAAATTTGTTCAAGAGCAAGTATAGACCAATGAGCAGCATGGAACATGGTCATGTGGATAGTATTGTTCACATAGAAATAACAACATCAGTGTGTCTAATGACACAGTCGTAAGTGTGCAGCAAAAAGTATTGGAATATTGGCATAAGAGGGGATACAGAACATAAAATGAACAAATGTAAAATAAATTAAAAGATGAAAAATTTAAATAAATAAGTGAAGTTATCTAGAGGGGAATAAAGAAAATATACAGTCATAATATTCTGTTTCATGATTAATCTATGGCTTAAATCTCAAAGTAAGGCTTTTTTGTATTTACAGTCAAGAAAATTATTGGCTGTTGTAAGGATTTCTATTTATAAAGGCAGTCAGAGGTTGGTCTACCAGGTATCTCTACATAGAGGTTTCATATGGCACTGACATCTCTATTGAATTGATTCAAGGCTCTTATGTGGTCAATAAGTCTGTTGTGTAATGCACAAACATCTGACTGTCTGTTAAAAATACAAATCTTGCAGATTACTTATGGAGAGGTTGGTTGCAGTTGAAGGTAATGAAGCAATTTAAATTCATAGTTTTGAAATACTTTCAAATTAATTAGACATTTGGAATTTTTTTATAGCTTCTGATAATGTTAAACAGACAAAGATGAAAGGGCAACAATGGTCTAGCTTAGAGTCATACCTGTACAGGAAGAATAATCTATAAAAATAGCTTAGGTGGAAAGGATGATGTTTTCAAGTCACCTTGCAGTGGCAGGGATTTATATGGTCTCTGGGAGGATTGAAGTGGATGTGGTGTGATTTGCTGGTGTTTTTTATAACATGGTTCACTTAAGCTACTTTTGTAGATTAGATTAGATTATATGCCTATATAATGTTCTGTTTGATCATATTATCTTAGCCATCTAAAGATCGTAGCTCTTTGTATGTGTTTCATATTTTTCTACTCCAACTTAAGCTATCTTTGTAGATTAGATTAGATGCCTATATAATGTTCTGTTTGATCATATTATCTTAGCCATCTAAAGATCGTAGCTCTTTGTATGTGTTTCATATTTTTCTACTCCAACTTAAGCTACCTTTGTAGATTAGATTAGATGCTTATATAATGTTACTGTTTGATCATATTATCTTAGCCATCTAAAGATCGTAGCTCTTTGTATGTGTTTCATATTTTTCTACTCCAACTTAAGCTACCTTTGGTAGATTAGATTAATTATATGCCTATATAATGTTCTGTTTGATTATATTTATCTTAGCCATCTAA